CAAACTTATGATTGTAGAGAGATGCATATTTAAATCTAGACTGTGTGAAAGGTCAGAGCTAAAAGATACTCTGCAGAAGATTTGGATTCAGAAGTTGTCATGTAGAAGCTGAAGTTAAATAATTCAGTCTCCTCCTGCACTGGAAGGCAAAGCATAATATTGAAGGATTACGGTTCACTTACAGTGATATTGCCAAGTAAACCCTAGAGGGAAAGAAACGGAATTTCATCCCAGAGTGTTTCAAGTTATATTTCTTTTGTATTCAGGTGAAAAGCCAGCAAACTAGCCATCCTTAAAAAAAAAGTATTTTACTATGTTGGCAAGAAAAAAGAAATAATGCTCAAAAAAATTTGGGTGCTTCAGTTCTGGGAAGGACAAGATTGATGGTGGAGACTACTTTTGTTTTTCTGTGCCTTCATTGGGGCAAGCTTTTCTCACTGTTTTTACTCTGGCTGTTGTGCAGGTCGTTGACCAGATCGACACACTGACATCTGACCTGCAGCTGGAGGATGAGATGACAGACAGTTCCAAAACAGACACACTCAACAGCAGCTCCAGCAGCACAACAGCTTCCAGCTTGGAGAAAGTCAAGGTGCGGGGCAGTGCACCGCTCATCAAGCCACCTGCACACCCCTCGGCTATCCTCACTGTACTGCGGAAGCCAAATCCACCACCACCTCCACCACGACTGACGCCCGTCAAGTGCGATGAGCCTCTGAGACTGCCTCCTACGGCCAACCCTGTCAAGACTAATGGTACCCTTCTGCGAAATGGGGGCTTGCCAATTGGGCCCAGCCGCATCCCAAACGGAGATATATGCTGTATACCGAACAGTAATTTGGAGAAAGTTGCGATGCAGCCTCTGATGCACAGACCTGAGAAAGAGCGGTGTCCTCAGCCTGGAGCAAGGGAGCGGGTACGATTTAGTGAAAAAGTGCAGTACCATGGCTATTGCCCTGACTGTGACGTTCGGTATAACATTAAAAACAGGGATGTGCATTTGCACAGTGAGCCTGCCCATGCTGTAGGAAAGCTGCCACACCAGTGCCCTCCTCTGCCACCTCCACCACCTCCCCTGCCTCCATTTCCTCTAGAAAATGGAGGTTTGGGGATAAGTCCCAGTAATAGCTTTCCTCCTCCAAGACCTGCGACTGTGCCTCCACAAACTGCACCAAAACCCCAGAAGACCATCTTGAGGAAATCAACCACTACAACAGTGTGATGTATGCCACTTGAAACAACTCTTTGTTTTTTCCTATATACAAACATAAATAGGTAATGAGCACTTTCTACTTGAGCAATAAAAAGACCCAATGTATTACTCCCTGTGTCCAGTGAAGTGGCATAAAAATCACATGGTAAGTACAAAGAGGAATGCTTGTTGATCTTACTTGTACTCACCAAAACATGTCATTATGGCAAAGGATGCTGAAAAAGTATTCATGCTTTAGCTCATAGATTGTAAGCGTCTATTGCAGTTTGATGTCTGTAGCATGGTTTAAAAGACAGTGAAAAGAAAGTTCAGTTTGAAAATGGTGGTGATTTGTGATAGATTTTGGTCTGTTTGACATAAGGGAATAACCATTGCTCCTGGGTTTTTGGAAACTTCCTGTTTCTAGCAAGTGCCTTTTAAAATGTCATTTGATGAAGCAAAGTGGAGTGCCAGATAACAGCTTTTGACTGAATTCCGGCAAATGCATTTTTCTCTGCCTGACTGCTTGAGCAGAGGCATTGTGTGTGGAGCAGTGCAATAGGATGTAATCACTGGACTTTCAGGCAGTTTGATCTTTGGTGGGGAAGTAAAGAAATAATTGAAAGGTATGTTGGCATGGCTTTGGAAAACTGAATTATCTCACATTTTGTTTCTCACTTGCTCAATGTGCCACAGCCAAGGTGAAGTACAGAGTTTTCAGATAAGCAGGGACAGTCCCATTCAGTTCCCCCCAATTTCCACTGCTCTGTCTGCAAAATGATAGTAATATTTTATCTCACGTGAGATGACTCGAGATTAAAACAACAAACCACTGTCCTGCATTTTTCACAAAGCTTTTGTCTGGTCCAGATCTCTTTTTGAAGGCATAAAAAATTTCGCCTAAGGCCTTCAGGGACATCCACTTAATTAATGTAAAGAGCTTTGAACTTGAAAAGCTCTATGCAATTATGAAGCATTAACATGCAAAACAAGATATTTTACATGTTATCACATTTTGATGGTGAACCCAATTAATAGTCTTACTAGTTGAAGAAAAGTCCTCAGTGTTTTTAATTATTTTATGAAAGTACATTCTTTTAATCTCACAAAGAGAATTGTGGGGACCTAGAGTTAAAAAAATCTGATCAGTGAAGAAAATCAGGTAATAAATCTTTATCTACAAAAGTTGTGCCAAATTAATCTCAAATGGCCCAACAGCAGATGCTTTATAAAAGTGGTATGCTTTTTTCCGCTGAAATTTAAAAGGTACTCTATGGCAAAACAGACAAAACTAGACAAAACAGATTTTTATTTTAAATTTCCATTTCTGTTTACATGCAGTACTAGGTATTAAACAGAAGACCAATCTTCAATCAGTTTCTCTGTATACAAATTATAGTACATTTATAGTATTTAAACTGAAATAATAAGTATCATCATAACAAAAATTCTAACAGATAGCTACCCTTTGAAATTCTTTACAGTAAATAGAGTGCAAATACATGTATTTAGAGTCTAAAGCTTCATGTTGTATTCCCTGCACAGAAGTGGCAGAGCAAGGAAATAATCTTAAATGCTTAATCATGCTTTTCCCAAATGCTTCCCGTGTGCTTTTCGTAATGCACTTTACATTTTGTATTATTTGACTGTACTTAATCACATGGGAGCTGTTGCCAAGTGAAGTCCTAGTGCTTACAGCAGGAGGCAGTAACTTGTTCTGCATGTGTGTGAGATCTTTGCTGCCCAAATGAAATTTCTGTCAGGTGGATTCTGCTCACACCCTGGGACTCCACAGCGCCTCCCTTGCTCACACATTGAAAATTACATTTAAAATCACTGGAACAATGTGTGGATGTATCTACATTGTGTATCTACAGGGTTTTCTTTTAAAAACAAAACATTTGCTGTCTGTTTGACTTTTATCACTGCTGAGGAGATCATATACCAACTATTATTAGCTAGTTTAATATTTTTTTCCTTCTTAAATCAGCTACCATGTACAAGAAATTATAGGATAATGCAAATCAAACATTGCATGTTTTATACAAAAGATTTCAATTTAATCTCAAATTAGAGAAAATAACACTGAATAATTTTAGGGGGGAGGGTCGGCTACACATGTCCTACTGCATTTTTTTCAATATAAACTCATCTCTGATAGGAAAGCACAGTATTTCTCCTCTGGATTCTGCTCCTGGGTTTGTCAGAGTCCCATGAACATATTAGTACCTCCAAATCAGATGCTGTACTCCATGGATGTGAAACTGATATACACATAAATTTCAGCTTTGTTGCAGTGTTCAGTTTACAGTTCTCAGCTCTGGAAAGTTTAAGTGGCATCTGACTTTGGGCATTTCAAATTCAGTTTTGGTATCCAACATTTACTCACACTCTGTCCTCTCAGAGGTGCTTTCTTGTCTCTTTTCTGATCCCTCCTGAGTACCCTTTCACAAACTATTGCCCTTCTTTGTGCATTTTCATAGGGGGAAGAGCGCTGTGCTATAAAAAAACAAAAGATGCAGCTTTTCAAATGCAATGCTGCTTTTGGCCAGAAATGCAGTTTCTGAATGTGAAGGAAATACATTATTTTTTGGCAAAGTTTTGCTAATCCATGCTTTTCCTTAGAGCACCAAAGTGTTCCAAGATCTCTATTAAATCATGGTATGACCATTGAATCAATTCTTCTGTTTTAATAAGAACGTCTCTGGCCTGTGTTCAATTGTAAAGTACTTTTATCAGTAGAACAATTTCACATTGTTAACGTAACAGAATAAAATTCAGGTTAAAACAGGTAAACTTGCAAAGCGTGGGAAACAATTAACTTTAAGCTTTGCAGCACTGTCTGGAAACTTCTAATAAAAATGGCATAAGAAATAATGCAATACTGTGTTCAGCCAGCAGTATTTTTTACATTTACATTAGGAATGTAATCTCTGTGAAGCATTTTTGAACACCTATAACATAGGATGTTTCTCACCTTACTGAGGAAAACACAGTAAGCTAACCAGAACCGGACAGGAATTGTCTGGCTTTGAAACATGAATGTAATAGCTTTGAGATTCTATTTAGTGTTTTGCAAAGGTGTTAATACCTGAAAAACTGAAAGGCCAGTAACAGCACTCAGAGCTTTAATGCGACATTTGCCAACATTTCACACAGCTGCTCAGGTTTGATTCCCCAAAGGTAATTTAAAGTCTGAATTGTCCAGATCTAGACTTCTCAAATGCAAACAGAAGGAGAAGGTAGTTTCTATCAATTTAATGAAGGAGATGAGTTTAGGACAATGGAAATAAGCAATTTAATTGCTTAATTTGTAATAATGGCATTGATTAATAAAAGCTGTCTTATGGATGCTTTATAAGAAAAGAACACTAGGGGAGTAAAATCCAATAACAATCCTTTTTAAGGACCTAAGAATTTTCAAAAAGATCATGGATCTTTTTATCACTTAGTAAAAGTCACTGTTCTTCCTTCTCTCTTGTCTTCTGGAGCATTGTGGAGGATCATCATCCATTGTTCATAGAAACAAGAAAAGTTTCCAAATCTTCTTCCTCCTTTTCATTTTTAAATCAGTATTTTATTTAAAATGTTACCTGAAGTAAGTGAAGTAGACTACAGCTCTTGTTAGCTTAACTTCAGATAACTTGGTTATTAGCTTTGAAGGAAACAGAGTGCAATGTGAATTCTTTAATTACCAGAGAGAGTTGGGTATGCCCTCTGGACCTGCTCAGATCTCTTTGTTTCTATGTTCTAATTATGGCTTTCCTTTCCGTGATATGATGAACAGTAATTTTACATGTGGAGATAAAAATCATGCTATGGTTGCTACGTCACTCATCTGATTTACTCTTTAAGTAGTCATGAGTATTGGGCACATATTTTTATAGAGGCAGCATTTCTCATTCTCAGTTTGTATATATGCTGTGATTCATGCTTTTTCAGAGGGTGTGTATAGAAGCAAAATACCTATCCACTGTTCAAACTAGTAATAATAGTGAAGGCATCAGGCGTAGAGCTGCAGTAAGGTCTTGCAAGTGAGATATGTGCAAAGACATGCAGTAGACAAAATGCCTATGGTAAACCATGGTAAGAACAACGTTTAGAACTTAATCTGAAAAATACTGCTCATCTGTTGAATGACCACGTTGTATTTTGTAGGGCAGTGTGTGCTGTATAGCTTGCAATAGTTACATGCTGCATCCTAGTGTTTCTGAATCTAGTAGTGCAGACCGTGCAGTTCATAACTGAAGCAGCAGTGGCAGTGCTGGTGTTACTGGCTGCAGTACAGTGCATACAAACTGCAGTTCAGCCTCATCTTTGTATGGTAGCAGTTACATGCTCATGGTTTTTAAATGGGAAAAACTAGCAGCCCTCACTGGCCTGTTTCATGGTGAAGAGCCCAAGAGAGCCAGTTTCTCCCTCAGTCATAATTTCAACAAGGTATCTGTAGTAGTCCATCTTGGTATAGCTCTGGGGAGCACATGCAAGTTCGTTTTCATTCTTGATCTTAAATGATTTGACATCTGGCTACCTCATGTTGGTCAAAAATCTCTCTTGTTAGCTGAGACTGGAGCTGCTGGGATAAATGAACTTTACCAGGTATCCTGCTGCAGGAGAGTGGCCCATGCTCTTGTCAACCTGTGCAGGTTCTCTGTTTTTTCACATTTGTTCATGTATGGCAAAGTCCCCATGTTACTACGTGGTTGGAGGGGTTTGTTAAGAAATTGCACTGTGCACTGTATCTATCAGCTGAGCTTCATTATTTCAGTGGTGTAAGCATGTGGGACCATGGCCGTATTTAGGTTGCCCAGTCTTTTGTGATGCTGAATCTTTGGAAATTTTGAGGCAGTTTTCTTATTGTTGAGATAATCAGTCTGCTGTGAGGTTATAAAAATAAGATGAGAGTCTATCGTACAAGAGAGAGCTAGGAACTTTCATGTTTTGCAGGACTGTTTTTGTTATTGCAGAACTATATGTCTTTTGTGGTGTGAAAATATTTTTTATAGATAGATGAGAAAAAAACCAAGTCTGATTCAGTAAAAGAAGTAGAATATAAATTGCACCTGATAGCCAGCCAAGAGCAGTGCTTCGAACAATGAGTAAGACCAAGACCATTCTTCTGCCCTGCTTGGGAAAGATGAAGAGTGGAACTCCAGAA